TGTGAATTTGGACTCAGAATCGGACCTGGACCCCCTTCTGAATTTCCCCCTGGTACTGTCGCTGGATCTATTGGCCTCCTCGGAACCTGACTCGGATTCCCCTGGATTACGCTCCTGGATAACCCCGCGCTTCGTCCCTCCTTAAATAAACCTCGCTGAACTGTCACTGACCTGTCTCGGGTTGTCTTTGGGTCCAACCCGTGTTTCATTACAAAAGAAGCTGACAGATGTAATGAACTGCCTCTCTATTCAAATTACTTCTGATGTCATAACATCAAACTGCATTTTAGAAGTCTTTTGCTTTCCTTTGACATATTTTGGGATGGACCAATTATTTTTGAAATATGATTTGTTCACTGAAGAGCCACCTCTGTACAAAAGCCCCAAAAGTCACCAGCAGGAGTGGGCAGTTATATTTTGAATGCCTTTAATTTAATACTTATTAGTGTTTGTTTACGTGCTAGTTTATAGGGTGAGCCAGCTCAACATTTGTGTTGTTGGTGACGTCACTCATGAGGACAGGTTCTGGGTGTGTTAGTGTAATTATGGGCTGCGGTTGTGAAGGATAATATTTATGTTAGGATCCTGATATGTTTGGTTTTTGTGTGCTGGAGAGTTCCACCAGCTCTGGATGCTGCATACCTGGAATCAATATTCTGATTAGAAGGCCTGGTGCTTAAAAGGAGCTGCAGGATCATCACTCTTTGCTGGATGATTACCTCTAATGGTACTCCCAGCACCAGCAAGTTGTGAGAGCTAAAGAGCTTTCTGATTTTGACTTTGTGACTTTTGTCACACGTCGTTTTGCTCCCTTTGTCTCAGGTCCCATGAAGCTCTCAAGTTACCTGAAAAAGATGTATTCACCGAGTGCTGCCATTGCAATTTGGGGCGTTATCTGTCTCCTATGTCGACCTTCCCGTTCTCCAGCTTGTTTCTCACTTCAGGAAAACCCCCTTTTCAGACTCACTCTCCCGGATCTTGGACCATCTACTCACCAGCACTGTATCTAAACTTTTTGTTGGACTTTATAAAGAAACCCTCTTGCCTTTAACTGATCTCTCGTGTGATTCTTCATTTGGGTCAGGAAATGATCTCCTAACATGACAACTTTGGCTGAAGTAAAATGTATGTGTATGAACAGTGCTGCAATAAAATTGAACTTTATTGGCTTAAGTGATGTATTATTAGTTGCTCTTCAAACTTAAGCACAGGAAGTGGCATGCATTTGTTACCAAAGAAAGAGCATTATACTGGTTCTGCTAACGTATTCAATTAATCTATGAATATGTGTCTTTAACTTGACTGATGTTAATGTGTTATGGTTTCTCGCAGGACACTACACACTCACCTACTTTCTCCTATAGAAACTCTTTGTTTACAATACCTCCAACCCCAGAATCTGATTAGGTGATTATTTTTGTCCTTTTTTATGGCAAATTGATTCAAGTATGCAATACTCTCTCTTCCAATACGTTTTTCTATAAGCTGTGACATTGAGCCACTACTCATTTTATTGTCAACTTTTTTGGAACAAGTTAATCTAAATGGAATGTAGTAATCAATGTTATTGCTTTCGCTCTTCCGACTGTGACAAGCTATACTGTCTGATGTTAGACTTCTTTTCACCTCAGTCCAGACGAAAGTTCTTGCTCTCTCAGCTCAGACTTGTTTTTCCACACAGTTTCACTTTTCAGTTTTGCTTCAATTCCCACCTCTCTTCGGAAAAATCCTTTCTTTCTGATGTTTTGAGCCTTTTGGTTAGGTAAAAAAAAGCTCCATGACACATTCTTTCAACAAAACTGTGACTGATGTTGATGTACAAACAAGTGGTTCCTACACAAATAATAGATAATATAATAATAGCATTTCACTAAGGTGAAAACCTGGACATATGAGGTGTTTAGAGAGGTCATGGAGAGTGACTATCAGAAAGCTTTGAAGAGGCTATGGTCCAATGTCTCAGGAGAGGGACACAGTGCCCCATCCACACTTTTTATAGTGGGGATAGAGTCCCAGCTGTGGGCCCTCCTATTAGCTTGGGCTGATGTCACTGAGGTAGTCAAAAAGCTAATCAGTGGTGGATGAGATCCACCTGGAGTTTCTAAAGGCTCTGAAAGCTGTGGGGCTATCTTGGTTGACACGCCTCTGGACTGGCAAACTGGGTTGGTGGTCCCCCTCTTTAGGAAAGTGGGCCGGGAGGTGCAATACAACTATAGGGGGATCATACTCCTCATCCTCCCATGCAAGATCTATTCAGGGGTCCTGGAGAGAAGGGTTCATCGAATAGTTGAATCTTAAGTGGAGTAACAACAGTGCAGTTTTCGTCTTGACTGGGGAACAGTGAACAAACTCTACACCCTCTTCAGGGTCCTAGAGGAGGCGTGGGAGTTCCTCTTTGAAATCTCCATTTGTTTTGTGGACTTGGAGAAGGCGTTCGAAAGTGTTCCACAGGGTCTCCTGTTGGGTGTGCTCCTGTAGTATGGAGTACTGGACCTTCTTGTTCAGGTTGTATGAGCGGTGCCAGAGTTTGGTCTGCAATATAAGTAAGTCCATCCATCCATTATCATTACCGCTTATTCCCTGATGGGGGAGAACTGGAGCCTATCCGAGTGGTCCACGGGTGAGAGGCAGGGTACACCCTGGACAGTCCGCCAGTCCATCGCAGGGCCACACACAAGACATACAAGGACAAACAACCACAACCACATTCACTCCTAAGAGCAATTTGGAATGTCCAATCAACCTAACATGCAGGTTTTGGGACTGTGGGAGGAAGCCGGAGAACCCGCAGAAAACCCACGCAGACTCAGGGAGAACATGCAAACTCCACCCAGAAAGTTCCTGGGCCCCCTCGGATTCGAACCCACAACCTTCTTGCTGGGAGGTAAGTCATTGACAGTAATTCAGATTTGTTTCCACTGAGGGTTGGACTCCGGCCAGGCTGCCCTTTCTCACCAATTCCGTTCATAGCCTTTATGGACAGAATTTCTAGTCAAAGCTGAGGCATTGAGGGGATCAGGTTTGGATCAATGCTTTTTTCAGATTATGTTGTTCTGTTGGCTTTATCAGGCCGGGCTCTCCAACTCTTTCGAGCTGAGGAGGGGGATGACGCTGCATGGGAGGAACCAGAGGACATTCTGGGACTGGCTTTATCCTGGAGACATGGAACGTCGAGTGGATCCTCATGGACCGGGGCAGACGTACCGCCTCTGGGTTGATGATGCGAGCGATGGGAAAGGGCCCCACAAACCTGGGAGACAGCTTGCGGTTATCTACCTTAAGGGGCAGGTCACAGGTGGAGAGCCAGACCTTCTGGCCAACCTGGTAGGCAGGAGCAGGCGTGCGGTGCTTGTTGGCGGTGGCAGAGTAACGGTTGAAAGACTTGAGGAGAACAGTACGTGCCTGGTCCCAGGTACACCGGCAACGGTGAATGAACGCTTGTGCCGATGGGCAGGCAGCCTCCCTCTCTTGGTTGGCAAATAGTGGGGGCTGATACCCATATGCGCACTGGAAGGGTGAAAGTCCAGTGGAAGAGCAGCTGAGGGCATATTCTACCCAGATAAGTTGTTCAGACCACGAAGCAGGGTTGTGGTTGATCAAGCAGGGAAGAATGGTCTTCAGGTCCTGGTTAATCCTCTCAGTCTGCCCATTGGACTGGGGGTGGAAGCCAGAAAACACACTAACGGAGGCCCCAACGAGAGTGCAAAACTCTTTCCAGATCATAGACGTGAACTGGGGACCCCGGTCAGAGACAATGTCAGTGGGCAGTCCATGGAGACGAAAAATGTTCTGGAGAACCAGTTCAGCTGTCTGTTTGGCAGATGGAAGCTTGGAGAGGGGAATGAAGTGGACCATCTTGCTAAAACGGTAGACAACTGTGAGGATGGCAGTGTGGCCTTTGGATGTAGGTAATCCAGTTACAAAGTCCAGGGAGATGTGTGACCATGGGTGATGAGGAACATGCAATGGGTGCAGGAAGCCGGCTGGTGGACGACGAGAGGTCTTGTTCTGGTTGCACACAGGACAGGCATTGACATAGCCTCGGACATCTTCCTCCATTGATGACCACCAGAAGCGCTGCTGCAGGAAGTCTCGGGTCCGCTGAATGCCAGGGTGGCAAGTCAGTTGGATGCCCCCACTGGAGAACATCGGAGCGGAGGTGAGCCGGGACAAACAAACGGTCAGGGGGACAGGTACTAGGACCAGGCTGGTCCTCAGTGGCAGCCCGCACCCTCTCCTCTATCTCCCAAGTGACAGAGGCAATGAGACAGGAGGTCGGAATGATGGTAGAGTGCTCAACCGTATTATCAGAACACTCAGGAAACTGCCGGGAAAGTGCATCTGGTTTAACGTTACGAGACCCGGTTCGATAGGACAGTGTAAAGTTGAACCTGTCAAAGAACAGTGACAAGCGGGCCTGTCTGGAATTTAGTCTCTTGGCAGATCGACTATATTCCAGCTTGCGATGATCAGTCCGCACAATGAATGGCACCTTGACTCCCTCCAGCCAGTGGCGCCACTCCTCCAAGGCCAGTTTCACCGCCAGAAGCTCCCTGTTACCAATATCATAGTTCCTTTCTGTGGGGGTTAGGCGGCGAGAGAAAAAGGCGCAGATCCATCAACTCTTGTCCAGCTTCAGCCCCCAGAGGTCCGGTACCAAAGACCCTCCTGAGCTCATTGGCAAAGGACAGGAAAGAGTGGCAGGCTCTGGTCCCCCTCTGCCATTTTGCTGTGCCCCAAAGACGTGCCCACCCAGCCACCCTGGCTTCCTCGGAGGAAAAGGTGAGCGGTTGCAGGGAAAAGATGATGGAGCAGTTGCAGAGAAAGGCGTTACAGGTGACAGGATCGCCATCATAACGCTCAGGTGCTCCCACATAAAGCTCACAGGGCGAAGGGAGAGGAGCACCGACTCCTGACGAGACAGGTGGCGGAGCAGTAGGGCTTGCCGAAGCCTGTGGTGAAGAACTGGCTTCCAGCGAAGCAGGTGATTGCTCCAGAACTTGGGTGCGGGCGTGGATGATCTCCAGTTCCTGTCGTACTTGTGCCAGGCCCTGCTGATCCTCTGCCCTGGTGGCCGTAGAAGCGGCAACCAGCATATTTAACATAACTTCCATCCGAGATATCCGGTCGTCAATCTGGGCTGGGTCCATTCTTGGCCAGATTGTACTGTAACGGGTGTGAGGCTGGACCCAAGTACAGCACAGACTGAGACCAGCGTCGAACAGTTAAACAGTTTATTGTCCAAACAAACTGGAGACAGACAAGGGCAAGCAGGCGGAGGAGTCAGAGGCAGAAGGCTGTTCAGGTTACCAGGGCAGGGACGACGAGGATGGGTCAGGGGCAAGCAGGGTCGAAACAGAGGAAGCAATCTGGAAGAAAACGCCGGAAAACTTTGCATGACGCTAAAGGCAATCTGGCTGAGACTGAGAGGAAAGAGTGGGTTTAAATCAGGTGAGGGAACACAGGTGAAGGTGGTTGCACTGATGAGGCAGACAATCAGTAAAAGTACTGGCAGAGCTGGCAGTATGATGGAAAACCCGGACCGGATTGTGACAGAAGGTAACAGCGAGCCAGTGAGTCCAAGGGGGTGCGTGAAGTCTGTACTCGTGTGTGTGTGTTTGTGTGTAAGTGTAAGAAAGCTGGAGGTCCAATACATCTGTGTATTCAGCCATATAATGATCAATAAATGTATTGATGGCACGGTACAACCTACCTAGAGTCATTTTAACAGCATTTTATATAATGTACTTTAATGCAATGAAATGACATCCTTTCTTTGACCACTCTTCATTAATCTGTGAGGTAGGAAAAATGTTTCCATATCAGAAAATATTTTGTCTTTCACTTCACAACAGAACAACATGAGTTGTAATGGTCATAGTGGAATAATAGCGCCACGATAAAGTAATAATTCATGAGGTAACTGCATATAATTAAATCATAACATAGCAGTAATAATTAGTGAATTAAAGTTATAGTGGTCCAGAATTTAAAATAAAATTAGTGAGGTGCAATATATAAAGAGCCACTGTAGAGACACAGATGACCATGGAGCCAAACTGTTGTAGTAAGTAGATACTCTGTGTCAGGCCTGTACTTTTGAACAATGCAATAGACACAGCCATGCTTGCTTCCATTTGTGCATATTTTGTAAAAGGACTTTGTGGCCTTTCCGCCACCGTGGTTGCCCCGACAGAGCACCTGCCCGCCACCCAAGTGGTACCCCAGATACCGTACCTCCCTCCGTCCAACCGCACACTTCTTTGGGTTGGCCGTGAGCCCCGCCTGCCTCAGGGACTCGAGCACCGCAGCCACCTGCCGCATATGCTCCGCCCAGGTGTTGCTGTGGATGATGACATCATCCAGGTAGGCAGCAGCATATGCAGCATGCGGCCGCAGCACCCGGTCCATGAGGCGCTGAAATGTGGCTGGGGCCCCGAACAACCCGAACGGAAGTGTGACGAATTTGGTACAACCCGTACGGAGTGGAGAAGGCTGTTTTTTCTTGGACTCTGGCGATCTGCCAGTAGCCCTTGGTCGAATCCAGCGTCGTGAAAAATCGAGCCGTGCCCAGGCGATCCAGGAGTTCGTCGACCCGGGGCATAGGGTAGGCGTCAAACCGTGACACGTCGTTAACCTTGCGATAGTCCACACAGAACTGGATGGACCCATCCTTCTTACCCACAAGAACGATGGGGCTGCGCTAGGCACTGTTGGACTCTTCTATTACCCCCAACTCCAACATTGTTTCCAATTCAGCCTGGACCACATTTCTTTTGTGCTCAGGCAACCGATAGGGCCGTGAACGCACTGACACGCCCGGGTGAGTCTCAACCTTATGTTGAATAAGGCTTGTGCGTCCTGGCAGGGGGGAGAACACATCAGCATAGCGCTGTTGCAACCTGGCTATGTCTGTTTTCTGGGATGGCAAGAGATGGTTCTCACAATGGAGCGAGGCAGAATCGGCCGACTTTGGTAGCTCAGGCCCCAACTCATCTCTCTCCGCAATTGCCGTCACCAGTGAAACAGACTCAGCCTCTCTCCAAGCTTTAAGGAGGTTGAGGTGATAAATCTGTGTAGCCCTTTCCCCTGTCAGATCGCTCAAGCTCATAGTCAACGTCACCTACTCGTCGTGTGACCACAAAGGGCCCTTGCCACTTGGCAAGTAATTTAGAGCTGGACGTTGGGAGCAATACAAGGACTTTATCTCCCGGTGAGAATTGTCTTAACCTGGATCCTCTGTTGTACAGCCGCTGTTGACGTTCCTGGGCCTGGAGCAAATTCTCTCGTGATAACCGCCCAAGTGTGTGGAGTTTTGCTCTCAGGTCCAGGACGTACTGAACTTCGTTTTTACTGGGGCTTGGACCTTCCTCCCAGCTTTCTTTAACCAGGTCCAACACCCCACGTGGTTTCCTGCCAAACAATAGCTCAAAGGGAGAAAATCCCGTGGAGGCCTGGGGTACCTCCCGCACTGCAAACAACAGAGGGTTCAGCCATTTGTCCCAATTCTGGTTATCATCGTGCAGAAACTTACGGATCATGGACTTCAAAGTCCTATTCAGACGCTCCACGAGGCCGTCAGTTTGTGGGTGGTAAACATTGGTCCGACTTGATGTCCAACAATCCGTACAGCTCTCTCAGTGTCCGTGACATAAATTGAGTGCCTTGGTCAGTCAGGATCTCTTTCGGAATCCCGACTCGGGAGATGACCTGAAACAGTGCCTGCGCCACACTCTTTGCAGAGATGGTGCGCAGCGGCACTGCCTCTGGATATCGGGTTGCGTAATCCACAAGGACTAACACAAACCGATATCCGCGTGATGGAATGGCCCGATCAGGTCCATCCCGACCCGTTCAAACGGGACCTCCATCAGAGGTAGGGGCCATAGAGGCGCCCTCGGGATGGCTGGTGGATTGACCAATTGGCATTCAGGGCAGACCGCACACCAGCGGCGCACATCTGCCCGAATGCCTGGCCAATAAAATCGGGCCATTATCCGGTTCAGCGTTTTATCATACCCCATGTGGCCAGCCATTGGGTTATAATGAGCCGCCTGGAAAACAATTTCCCGGCGGCTTTTAGGTACCAACAACTGGGACATCACCTCACTAGTCTGAGTGTCACGACTCACTCGATATAACCTGTCCCTGCACAATGAAAAGTGGGGATATGTCAACGGTGTGTCAGGGTGCACCCTGTGACCATCAATTCTTATCACTTGGTCAAAGGCACAGCGTAGAGTGTCGTCCCGAGACTGCTCGAGTGGAAAATCTTCCATGGAGTTGAACACGGGAACTAGCGGAGCCTCCGGTGGAGTCACCGCCAGTTCCCCCTCCCCGTCTGCAGTGTCGGACGACCTCGCGTCACCACTGAGCACAGCGCACATATCCCATGTCCCTGTCGGCCGTGAGCGCACACCCACACATTACCCCACTAGCTTGTCGAACCCTGGCCAATCAGTTCCCAGAATCAGGGGGTGCGCCAGGCGGGGACTAACAGCTGCCTTTATGTTATGCTTTTTCCCCTTGTACCGTATTTCCACTGGCACCACCATGCACACACACAATGTCCACACACCCCGCCTCCAACAATGCCCTGGGTCGAACCAGGTTCTGGTGAACCATGGACTGGGTACAGCCCGAATCCACCATTGCCCGATGTGTACCCCCCTGAATCTTTACCGGAACACTGTACGTCCCTCTTGGACCGGGGGAGGGTGCTGGAGGGCCGACCACCCGGATCACCAGGCCCACCTCCATCAGTGGGCACTCCCGGCGAAAGTGACCGGGCCATCCACACCTCCAGCACGCCTGCCCTGCTGCCTGAGGAACCCCCTGTGGGTGGGGAGCAGCGCCCGTAGCGGCCGGGACCTGGACCTGGGGGGGGAGCAGAGCAGCGAGCACGGGGAGCAGGAAGGGGGCGAGCAGTCGTGGGGCCCCGTGGAATGGGTGCGGATCTCCGTCGGGGTGCCGGCGTTGGTCTGGCTGTCCGCTTTGGCTCGCCACTCACTGTCAGACACGGTGAAACAACTGCCAGGTGGTCTTCAGCCAGCCTGACAGCGGCAGCCAGATCCGCCGGGCGGTGGCACCGCACCCAGTCCGATGTCGGCGTCGGGAGCCCCGCCACAAACTGCTCCAAGACTACTGTCCCTACCAGTCGCTGCTCGCCCGCTCGCCACAAATGGGCGCCACAAATGGGCGCCCGTCCGGTCCCAGCTGGGCTTCACGGAACCGGCGCCGATAGTCCTCCGCAGAGAACCCCAGCCGATCGAGAACGGCCTTCCTCACCTCCCGGTATTGTCCTCGGGAGAGGGCCGGCAGGCCGAGCGCCGCCGTCTGGGCCTCCCCCGACAGGAGAGGAAGCAGCCGCACTGCCCACTCCTCTTCCGGCCACTGGCAAGCCGTCGCCGTAGCCTCAAAAATCCAGAGGAAGGAATATGGGTCGTCCTGTCCCGTCAGCTTTTGCAGCTGGATCCCGGCGATCGCCATGTCCCCTGGTGGTGACCTTGCCCGCTCAACCACTGCCTCCAGCAGCAGTGTCTGCCGCTCTGTCTGGGCCAGTAGAGCCCCCAGCTGCTGCCGGCTCAAGATGGCTTGTTCCCGGCCCATCGCGGCCATCTCCGCCACCATCTGGGTCAGTGTACGCATGGTCTGCTGCGGTTCCAACATGTCAGCCTCCGTACTCCTGTCAAGGCCACGTTAGGCGCCAATTGTGGCCTTTCCGCCACCGTGGGTGCCCCGACAGAGTATTCAGAGAGTAGGCTTCGTTGGTTACACAGATTTTTATTCAGAGCGTGTGTGCCATATGCACACCCGCTCTCTCACACAAGCACACAAGCACACACTCACACACGCTCCCAGCGTTGGGCTCCTTCTGTGGTTCCAATGCTGTGGCCCCAGGTACTCTCCAAAACCAGTCCTCCCCAGGTCCAGCACGCTACTCTTTTTACAGAGGGGAGAGTGATTAGCCAACCGGTTCCAGGTGTGCTCAATCACCTCCCCTGGCACTGCTCACCTGAGCCTCTTCCACACATCCCCCCTGCAGCAGAGCGCCACGCCCCCTCCACAGACTTGTTTGTGAGTTTTGTCAAAGTACACCAATCACTTTACTTTAACTAGAGAAGAAAATGTGATGCCGTTCACTTCTGTGAGCTTGGGCTTTCACT